AGACTGGGACTGAGACCGGGACCAGACCAGAACCAGACCGTAATTGAGACCGGGACTGAGACCGGGTTCAGACTGAGACCAGACCAGGACTGAAAATGATTTATTCCGTTGTCCGTTTTTTCCATTTTTCATTTAAACACGAAATCAGAAACTGAAAAAAAATTGAATCATTATCTGTTTTTTTTTTTTTTTTTCATTTTGGTTTTGGAGAGAAAAATAATAATGAAGAAAATAATGTTGTTGTTGTTTTTTCTTTTTTTCTTATTTTTGGTTTTATTTTGAAAAACGAATAAACAAATGACACACGGATTAATTTCTTTACTATTAAGCGATTTTCCGATCGATTTAAGTGTTTATATCTTAAATTTTGTCCAAGTTTTTTTTTTTTTTTACAGTGAACTTGGTCTGGTTTGGTCTCCGTGGAGATAGAAAGGTTTAAAGCTGCACTGTGGAACATTCCAGACAACGGACCCTCCACCAGAAAAGTTACACAGTGCACTTTAAATCGAGACTGTAGGTATTTTTGCCGTTTTGCCGTTGAAAATGACACGTCCTCCCCCCTCCTCTCCTCCACCGCTCTTCCCTCTCCCCCGCCGCCTCCCCCTCCCTCCTCTCCTCCACCGCTCTTCCTCTCCCCCGCCGCCTCCCCCTCCCTCCTCTCCTCCACCGCTCTTCCCTCTCCCCCGCCGCCTCCCCCTCCCTCCCGGCCGGTCAGAACAGCTTGTTAGAGTTGACAGTGCGCTGGAGCTGGAGCGGGGGCTTTGGGTGTAAATCCGTGTGCGTGAGCCGGGGGGCGCTGTGCAGGTGGGGGATTTAGACGTGGATTTCTGCATTTACAAAGATGCTCCTCTCCCTCCTGTAGCCACCACCGCCAGACCCCCCCACCGCCGCCACCGCCGAACCCCCCGCCGCTGCCACCGCCAGCCCCACGTACCCACCACCAGCGCCGAAACCCCCACCGCCAACCCCACAACCAAGCGCTCAACACCCACTGCCGCCGAAACCGCCACCTACACCGCCAGCTCAACACGGCCAACATCAGAACCAAACCCCACACCTCCAACATCACAACCAAACCCTACACCGCCAAACCCTACACCGCCAACATCACAACCAAACCCTACACCTCCAACATCACAACCAAACCCTACACCGCCAAACCCTACACCGCCAACATCACAACCAAACCCTACACCGCCAAACCCTACACCGCCAACATCACAACCAAACCCTACACCGCCAAACCCTACACCGCCAACATCACAACCAAACCCTACACCTCCAAACCCTACAACGCCAACATCACAACCAAACCCTACACCGCCAAACCCTACACCGCCAACCCACAACCACACCAAACCACCAAACCCAACACCGCCAACCCCAGCTCAACACGGCCCACATCAGAACCAAACCCCACACCACTAAACCCAACACTGCCAGCCCCACAACTGCCAGTTCCACATTCCCCACACCGCCAAACCCTACACCTCCAACCCCACAACCAAACCCTACACCGCCAAACCCTACACCGCCACCCACAACCAAACACTACACCGCCAAACCCTACACCGCCAACTCCCACAACCAAACCCTACACCGCCAAACCCTACACCGCCAACCCCACAACCAAACCCTACACCGCCAAACCCTACACCGCCAACCCCACAACCAAACCCTACACCGCCAACCCCACAACCAAACCCTACACCTCCAAACCCTACACCGCCAACCCCACCACCAACATCATAACCAAACCCTGCACCACCAACCCCACAACCAAGAGTTGTTGCTTTTCTGTTTCTCGTCTGGTGATTTTTCTGCCGCGAGACACAAAATAATGACTCCAACAGGGAGAGAGGAAGAACCTCCTCTTCATCCTCTGACCCCGGACCCTCTCCTCTTCATCCTCTTCATCCTCTTCATCCTCTGCTTCATCGGGCTGGTGTGTGATGAAGAGGAGGAGTGTGATGAAGAGGAGGAGTGTGTGATGAAGAGGAGGAGTGTGATGAAGAGGAGGAGTGTGTGATGAAGAGGAGGAGTGTGATGAAGAGGAGTGATGAAGAGGAGGAGTGTGTGATGAGAGGAGGAGTGTGTGATGAAGAGGAGGAGAGTGTGATGAAGAGGAGGAGTGTGTGATGAAGAGGAGCGTGTGATGAAGAGGAGTGTGTGATGAAGAGGAGGAGTGTGTGATGAAGAGGAGGAGCGTGTGATGAAGAGGAGGAGTGTGATGAAGAGGAGGAGTGTGATGAAGAGGAGGAGTGTGATGAAGAGGAGGAGGTGTGTGTGATGAAGAGGAGGAGTGGTGATGAAGAGGGGAGTGTGTGATGAGAGGAGGAGTGTGATGAAGAGGAGGAGTGTGTGATGAAGAGGAGGAGTGTGTGATGAAGAGGAGGAGTGTGATGAAGAGGAGGAGTGTGTGATGAAGAGGAGGAGTGTGTGATGAAGAAGGAGGAGTTGATGAAGAGGAGAGTGTGATGATGAAAGAGGAGTGTGTGATGAAGAGGAAGGAGTGTGATGAAGAGGAGGAGTGTGTGTGATGAAGAGGAGGAGTGTGATGAAGAGGAGGAGTGTGTGATGAAGAGGAGGAGAGTGATGAAGAGGAGTGTGTGATGAAGAGGAGGAGTGTGTGGATGAAGAGGAGGAGCGTGTGATGAAGAGGAGTGTGGTGATGAAGAGGAGGAGAGTGATGAAGAGGAGGAGTGTGTGATGAAGAGGAGGAGTGTGATGAAGAGGAGGAGAGTGATGAAGAGGAGGAGGAGTGTGATGAGAGGAGGAGCGTGTGTGAGAGGTGATGTGATGAAGAGGAGGAGTGTGTGTGATGAAGAGGAGTGTGTGAGTGTGTGATGAAGAGGAGGAGTGTGTGATGAAGAGGAGGAGTGGTGTGATGAAGAGGAGAGGAGTGATGAAGAGGAGGAGCGTGTGATGAAGAGAGGAGCGTGTGATGAGAGGAGGAGTGTGATGAAGAGGAGGAGTGTGATGAAGAGGGAGGAGTGTGAATGAAGAGGAGGAGTGTGATGAAGAGGAGGAGTGTGTGTGATGAAGAGAGAGTGTGATGAAGAGGAGGAGTGTGATGAAGAGGAGGAGTGTGATGAAGAAGGAGGAGTGTGTGATGAGAGGAGGAGTGTGATGAAGAGGAGGTGTGGATGAAGAGGAGGAGTGTGATGAAAGAGGTGAGTGTGTGATGAAGAGAGGAGGAGTGTGATGAAGAGGAGGAGCGTGATGAAGAGGAGGAGGTGTGTGATTGTGAGAGAGGAGGAGTGTGTGATGAAGAGGAGGAGCGTGTGAATGAAGAGGAGGAGTGTGATGAAGAGGAGGAGTGTGTGATGAAGAGGAGGAGTGTGATGAAGAGGAGTGTGTGATGAAGAGGAGGAGTGTGTGAAGAGGAGATGATGTGAGAAGAGGAGGAGTGTGATGAAGAGGAGGAGCGTGTGATGAAAGAGGAGGAGTGTGTGATGAAGGAGGAGGAGTGTGATGAAGAGGAGTGTGAAGAGGAGGAGTGTGTGATGAAGAGGAGGAGTGTGTGATGTGAGGGAGGAGTGTGATGAAGAGGAGGAGTGAGTGTGATGAAGAGGAGGAGTGTGATGAAGAGGAGGAGTGTGTGATGAAGAGGAGGAGTGTGATGAAGAGGAGGAGTGTGTGATGAAGAGGAGGAGTGTGATGAAGAGGAGGAGTGTGAATGAAGAGGAGTGTGATGAAGAGGAGGAGTGTGTGATGAAGAGGAGGATGTGATGAAGAGTGTGATGAAGAGGAGGAGTGTGTGATGAAGAGGAGGAGTGTGATGAAAGAGAGAGGAGTGTGTGAAGAGGTGTGTGATGAAGAGGAGGAGTGTGTGATGAAGAGGAGGAGTGTGATGAAGAGGAGGAGTGTGATGAAGAGGAGGAGTGTGGTGATGAAGAGGGGAGTGTGTGATGAAGAGGAGGAGTGTGATGATGTGTGATGAAGAGGAGGAGTGTGTGATGAAGAGGAGGAGTGTGTGATGAAGAGGAGGAGTGTGATGAAGAGGAGGAGGAGTGTGATGAAGAGGAGGAGTGTGATGAGAGAGAGGAGGAGTGTTGTGATGAAAGAGGAGGAGTGTGATGAAGAGGAGGAGTGTGTGATGAAGAGGAGGAGTGTGTGATGAAGAGGAGGAGTGTGTGATGAAGAGGAGGTGATGAAGAGGAGTGTTGATGAAGAGGAGTGTGTGATGAAGAGGAGGAGTGTGATGAAGAGGAGGAGTGTGATGAAGAGGAGGAGTGTGATGAAGAGGAGGAGTGTGTGATGAAGAGGAGGAGTGTGTGATGAAGAGGAGGAGTGTGTGATGAAGAGGAGGAGTGTGTGATGAAGAGGAGGAGTGTGTGATGAAGAGGAGGAGTGTGATGAAGAGGAGGAGTGTGTGATGAAGAGGAGGAGTGTGTGATGAAGAGGAGGAGTGTGATGAAGAGGAGGAGTGTGATGATGAAGAGGAGGAGTGTGTGATGATGATGAGAGAGGAGGAGTGTGTGATGAGAGGAGGAGTGTGATGAAGAGGAGGAGTGTGTGATGAAGAGGAGTGTGTGGAGGAGGAGTGTGTGATGAAGAGGAGGAGTGTGATGAAGAGGATGTGTGTGATGAAGAGAGTGAAGGAGGATGTGTGATGAAGAGGAGGAGTGTGATGATGAGAGGAGTGTGTGATGAGAGGAGGAGTGTGATGAAGAGGAGTGATGTGTGATGAAGAGGAGGAGTGTGATGAAGAGGAAGTGTGATGAAAGAGGAGTGTGTGATGAAGAGGAGGAGTGTGTGATGAAGAGGAGGAGTGTGATGAAGAGGAGGAGAGTGTGATGAAGAGGAGGAGTGTGATGAAGAGGAGGAGCGTGTGATGAAGAGGAGTGTGATGAAGAGGAGTGTGTGATGAAGAGGAGGAGTGTGATGAAGAGGAGGAGTGTGTGATGTGATGAAGAGGAGGTGTGTGGAGGAGGATGTGATGAAGAGGAGTGTGTGATGAAGAGGAGTGTGTGATGAAGAGAGAGAGAGGAGGAGTGTGATGAAGAGGTGTGATGAAGAGTGATGAAGAGGAGGAGTGTGATGAAGAGGAGTGTGTGATGAAGAGGAGTGTGTGATGAAGAGGAGGAGTGTGATGAAGAGGAGGAGTGTGTGATGAAGAGGAGGAGTGTGATGAAGAGGAGGAGTGTGTGATGAAGAGGAGGAGTGTGTGATGAAGAGGAGGAGTGTGATGAAGAGGAGGAGTGTGATGAAGAGGAGGAGTGTGTGATGAAGAGGAGGAGTGTGTGATGAAGAGGAGGAAGTGTGATGAAGAGGAGGAGTGTGTGATGAAGAGAGGAAGGAGTGTGATGAAGAGGAGAGTGGTGATGAAGAGGAGGAGGAGGAGGAGTGTGAATGTGAATGAAGAGGAGTGAGTGTGTGATGAAGAGGAGGAGTGTGTGATGAGAGGAGGAGTGTGATGATGATGAAGAGGAGTGTGTGATGATGTGTGATGAAGAGGAGGAGAATGTGATGAAGAGGGAGTGATGAGAGGAGGAGTGTGTGATGAAGAGGAGGAGTGTGATGAAGAGGAGGAGTGTGTGATGAAGAGGAGGAGTGTGTGATGAAGAGGAGGAGTGTGATGAAGAGGAGAGTGTGATGAAGAGGAGGAGTGTGATGAAGAGGAGGAGTGTGATGAAGAGGAGGAGTGTGTGATGAAGAGGAGAGTGTGAGAGAGGAGTGATGAAGAGGAGGAGTGTGATGAAGAGGAGGGAGGAGTGTGATGAGAGGAGGAGTGGTGATGAAGAGGAGGAGTGTGTGATGAAGAGGAGTGTGTGTGATGAAGAGGAGGAGTGTGGATGAAGAGGAGGAGTGTGATGAAGAGGAGTGTGTGATGAAGAGGAGGAGTGTGATGAAGAGGAGGGTGTGAGTGTGTGATGAGGAGTGTGTGAGAAAGAGGAGGAGTGTGATGAAAGAGGAGGAGTGTGATGAAGAGGAGGAGAGTGTGATGAAGAGGAGGTGTGAAGAGAGAGGAGTGTGATGAAAGAGGAGTGTGTGATGAAGAGGAGGAGTGAAGAGGAAGAAGGAGTGTGATGAAGAGGAGTGTGTGATGAAGGAGGAGTGTGTGATGAAGAGGAGGAGTGTGATGAAGAGTGATGAAGAGGAGGATGGAGTGATGAAGAGGAGGAGTGAGTGATGAAGAGGAGGAGTGTGATGAAGGGAGGTGGAGGAGGAGGAGTGTGATGAAGAGGAGGATGGAGTGATGAAGAGGAGGAGAGAGTGATGAAGAGGATGGAGTGATGAAGAGGAGGAGTGTGTGATGAGAGGAGGAGTGTGTGATGATGAAGAGGAGGAGTGTGATGAGAGGAGGGGTGTGAAGTGTGATGAAGAGGAGGAGCGTGTGATGAAGAGGAGTGTGTGATGAAGAGGAGGAGAGAAGGAGGAGTGTGATGAAGAGGAGGAGTGTGATGAAGAGGAGGAGTGTGATGAGAGAGAGGAGAGAGGAGAAGAGGAGGAGTGTGTGATGAAGAGGAGTGTGTGATGAAGAGGAGGAGTGTGTGATGAAGAGGAGGAGTGTGATGAAGAGGAGGAGTGTGATGAAGAGGAGGAGTGTGATGAAGAGGAGGAGTGTGTGATGAAGAGGAGGAGTGTGATGAAGAGGAGGAGTGTGTGATGAAGAGGAGGAGTGTGTGATGAAGAGGAGGAGTGGAGTGATGAAGAGGAGGAGTGTGTGATGAAGAGGAGGAGTGTGTGATGAAGAGGAGGAGAAGAGGAGGAGTGTGATGAAAGAGGAGTGTGATGAGAGGAGGAGAGTGATGAAGAGGAGGAGAGTGATGAAGAGGAGGAGTGATGAAGAGGAGGAGAGTGATGAAGAGAGGAGAGTGATGAAGAGGAGGAGTGT